ATTGACAAGACATATACCATTCGAAAGGTAACCTCATAAGATTTTAGCACGGCAAGTTTTAGCTTTTTTGGAATTAAATTACGCCCACACTGGGCGAAACACCCTGATATTATACCAGGCACCAGTTTAAAAAAAGTGAATTAGTGATGTCGGAGTGAATTGACAAGACATATACCATTCGAACGGTAACCTCATAAGATTTTAGCACGGCAAGTTTCAGCTTTTTTGGAATTAAATTACGCCCGCCGCAGGCCAAACACTCTGATATTATACCAGGCACCAGTTTAAAAAAAGTGAATTAGTGATGTCGGAGTGAATTGACAAGACATATACCATTCGAAAGGTAACCTCATAAGATTTTAGCGCGGCAAGTTTCAGTTTTTTTGGAATTAAATTACGCCCGCCGCAGGCCAAACACTCTGATATTATACCAGGCACCAGCTCAAAAAAAAGTGAATTAGTGATGTCGGAGTGAATATACAAGACATATACCATTCGAACGGTAACCTCATAAGATTTTAGCACGGCAAGTTTCAGCTTTTTTGGAATTAAATTACGCCCGCCGCAGGCCAAACACTCTGATATTATACCAGGCACCAGTTCAAAAAAAAGTGAATTAGTGATGTCGGAGTGAATTGACAAGACATATACCATTCGAACGGTAACCTCATAAGATTTTAGCACGGCAAGTTTCAGCTTTTTTGGAATTAAATTACGCCCGCCGCAGGCCAAACACTCTGATATTATACCAGGCACCAGTTCAAAAAAAGTGAATTAGTGATGTCGGAGTGAATTGACAAGACATATACCATTCGAAAGATAACCTCATAAGATTTTAGCACGGCACGTTTCAGCTTTTTTGGAATTAAATTACGCCCGCCGCAGGCCAAACACTCTGATATTATACCAGGCACCAGTTTAAAAAAAATTGAATTAGTGATGTCGGAGTGAATTGACAAGACATATACCATTCGAAAGGTAACCTCATAAGATTTTAGCACGGCAAGTTTCAGCTTTTTTGGAATTAAATTACGCCCGCCGCAGGCCAAACACTCTGATATTATACCAGGCACCAGTTCAAAAAAAAGTGAATTAGTGATGTCGGAGTGAATTGACAAGACATATACCATTCGAAAGATAACCTCATAAGATTTTAGCACGGCACGTTTCAGCTTTTTTGGAATTAAATTACGCCCGCCGCAGGCCAAACACTCTGATATTATACCAGGCACCAGTTTAAAAAAAATTGAATTAGTGATGTCGGAGTGAATTGACAAGACATATACCATTCGAAAGGTAACCTCATAAGATTTTAGCACGGCAAGTTTCAGCTTTTTTGGAATTAAATTACGCCCACACTGGGCGAAACACCCTGATATTATACCAGGCACCAGTTTAAAAAAAAGTGAATTAGTGATGTCGGAGTGAATTGACAAGACATATACCATTCGAAAGGTAACCTCATAAGATTTTAGCACGGCAAGTTTTAGCTTTTTTGGAATTAAATTACGCCCACACTGGGCGAAACACCCTGATATTATACCAGGCACCAGTTTAAAAAAAAAGTGAATTAGTGATGTCGGAGTGAATTGACAAGACATATACCATTCGAAAGGTAACCTCATAAGATTTTAGCACGGCAAGTTTTAGCTTTTTTGGAATTAAATTACGCCCACACTGGGCGAAACACCCTGATATTATACCAGGCACCAGTTTAAAAAAAAAGTGAATTAGTGATGTCGGAGTGAATTGACAAGACATATACCATTCGAAAGGTAACCTCATAAGATTTTAGCACGGCACGTTTCAGCTTTTTTGGAATTAAATTACGCCCGCCGCAGGCCAAACACTCTGATATTATACCAGGCACCAGTTTAAAAAAAAGTGAATTAGTGATGTAGGAGTGAATTGACAAGACATATACCATTCGAAAGGTAACCTCATAGGATTTTAGTACGGCAAGTTTTAGCTTTTTTGGAATTAAATTACGCCCGCCACATGCCAAACACTCTGATATTATACCAGGCACCAGTTTAAAAAAATTGAATTAGTGATGTCGGAGTGAATTGACAAGACATATACCATTCGAAAGATAACCTCATAAGATTTTAGCACGGCAAGTTTTAGCTTTTTTGGAATTAAATTACGCCCGCCGCAGGCCAAACACTCTGATATTATACCAGGCACCAGTTCAAAAAAAAGTGAATTAGTGATGTCGGAGTGAATTGACAAGACATATACCATTCGAAAGGTAACCTCATAGGATTTTAGTACGGCAAGTTTTAGCTTTTTTGGAATTAAATTACGCCCGCCACATACCAAACACTCTGATATTATACCAGGCACCAGTTTAAAAAAAATTGAATTAGTGATGTCGGAGTGAATTGACAAGACATATACCATTCGAAAGATAACCTCATAAGATTTTAGCACGGCAAGTTTTAGCTTTTTTGGAATTAAATTACGCCCGCCGCAGGCCAAACACTCTGATATTATACCAGGCACCAGTTCAAAAAAAGTGAATTAGTGATGTCGGAGTGAATTGACAAGACATATACCATTCGAAAGATAACCTCATAAGATCTTAGCACGGCACGTTTCAGCTTTTTTGGAATTAAATTACGCCCGCCGCAGGCCAAACACTCTGATATTATACCAGGCACCAGTTTAAAAAAAAAAGTGAATTAGTGATGTAGGAGTGAATATACAAGACATATACCATTCGAACGGTAACCTCATAAGATTTTAGCACGGCAAGTTTCAGCTTTTTTGGAATTAAATTACGCCCACACTGGGCGAAACACCCTGATATTATACCAGGCACCAGTTTAAAAAAAAAGTGAATTAGTGATGTCGGAGTGAATTGACAAGACATATACCATTCGAAAGGTAACCTCATAAGATTTTAGCACGGCAAGTTTTAGCTTTTTTGGAATTAAATTACGCCCACACTGGGCGAAACACTCTGATATTATACCAGGCACCAGTTTAAAAAAAAGTGAATTAGTGATGTCGGAGTGAATTGACAAGACATATACCATTCGAAAGGTAACATCATAAGATTTTAGCACGGCAAGTTTTAGCTTTTTTGGAATTAAATTACGCCCACACTGGGCGAAACACCCTGATATTATACCAGGCACCAGTTTAAAAAAAAAGTGAATTAGTGATGTCGGAGTGAATTGACAAGACATATACCATTCGAAAGGTAACCTCATAAGATTTTAGCACGGCAAGTTTTAGCTTTTTTGGAATTAAATTACGCCCGCCGCAGGCCAAACACTCTGATATTATACCAGGCACCAGTTCAAAAAAATTGAATTAGTGATGTCGGAGTGAATTGACAAGACATATACCATTCGAAAGATAACCTCATAAGATTTTAGCACGGCACGTTTTAGCTTTTTTGGAATTAAATTACGCCCGCCGCAGGCCAAACACTCTGATATTATACCAGGCACCAGTTTAAAAAAATTGAATTAGTGATGTCGGAGTGAATATACAAGACATATACCATTCGAACGGTAACCTCATAAGATTTTAGCGCGGCAAGTTTCAGCTTTTTTGGAATTAAATTACGCCCGCCGCAGGCCAAACACTCTGATATTATACCAGGCACCAGTTTAAAAAAATTGAATTAGTGATGTCGGAGTGAATATACAAGACATATACCATTCGAACGGTAACCTCATAAGATTTTAGCACGGCAAGTTTCAGCTTTTTTGGAATTAAATTACGCCCACACTGGGCGAAACACCCTGATATTATACCAGGCACCAGTTTAAAAAGAATTGAATTAGTGATGTCGGAGTGAATATACAAGACATATACCATTCGAACGGTAACCTCATAAGATTTTAGC